GACATTTGGGTTGATTCCAGCTCTTGGCTATTGTGAAGAGTGCTGCAATGAACATTGGGAAACAGGTATACCTTCGACTTGATGTTTTCCATTCCTTTGGGTATATTCCCAGTAGTGGGATAGCTGGATCATATGGTAAATCTATCTTCAGCTGTTTGAGGAACCTCCAAACCAAAACAAACAATCTAATTCACCCACATACACACACACACACACACAAAAAAACCCGGGTGGGGTGGGGTGGGGAAGAAGATATAACAACTATACTTCCATGAAGTTGTTACAACAAGCAAACGGAAAGGACATTCTTGGGGGGGAGGGGAGAGAGGGAGGAGGGAGGGAGGTGTCGGTGACGGGCCATAATAATCATATACAGTGTATATTGACAAAATAAAATAAATAAATAAATAAATAATTTTTTAAAATAAAGTGGGCAAAGGAGCTGAATAGAAATTTTTCAAAGTAAGACATACAAATGACCAAAAGATACATGAAAAAATGCTCAACATCACTAGTCATCACGGAAACACCAATTAAAACTACACTGGGATACCACTTCACCCCAGTTAGACTGGCTATAATCAAAAAGATGGTGAATAACAAATGCTGGCGAGGGTGTGGAGAGAAGGGAACACTCCTACACTGCTGGTGGGACTGTAAATTAGGACAACCCCTATGGAAATCAGTATGGAAGTTTCTCAAACAACTACAGATAGATCTCCCACATGATCTAGCAATCCCTCTTCTGGGTATATACCCGGAGGAATGGAAATCATCATGTCGAAGGGATACCTGCACTCCCATGTTCATTGCAGCTCTGTTTATAGTAGCCAAGATATGGAGCCAACCTAAATGTCCATCAATGGATGATTGGATAAGGAAACTGTTCGGTATGTACACCATGGAATACAACTGTACTGTAAAAAGTAACAAAATTTTCCCCTTTCCAACAACATGGGTGAACCTAGAGAAACATCTTAAGTGAAATTAGCAAAGCACAGAGGGATAAATACCAAATGGGCACAAGGGGTGACAATCCGCTTTGTAGCTCATGAATATTCATAACAAACAAACAAGTAAATAGATAATAAACACACAGACACACACACACACACACATGGAGAAAATAGCATGTTTGGGGAAATACGCGGAGAAATTGGAACTCTCATGCATTGCTGGTAGGAATGGGAAATGGCGTAACCACTATGGAAAACAGCTTCTCAGTTCCCTGTAAGTGACAGATGGAATTACTATGTAACCCAGCAATTCCACTGCTAGCTATATAATCACAAAGTAATTTAAAACAGGCACTCAAACAGATACATGTATGTGAGTATTCACAGCAGCACTATTCATAACAGCCAAAAGGTGGAAACAACCCAAATGTTCATCCACAGATGACTGGGTAAACAAACTGGCAGATTCCCTACAATGCAATAATAGTCATACATAGAAAGGAGTGAATATCGTTTTCCGTGTGCTTAGGGCCATTTGTATTCATTAGCTTGGCCTCCAGCCAGAAGACCTAGCTCTAAATCCTACATCTGCCACTTCAAGCTGTGTGATCATGTTCAAGTGAGATTCCTAGTTTTCTTCCTCATTGAGTTTTTGTGATAATTGTAAGACCTTACATGCTTAATACAGCTCCAGCCACAGAACAAATACAACATCATAAACAATATTCCTAATAAGATATTTAATGCTACTACATGAGAGTAATTGGGTACTATGCTATTCCTTGTCAATCAAAACATATTTGAATTAATCCAGTGCTCTTGGGACCAAATTCATTCTCATAGGGGTGATAAGCTCAAGTCTCCACCAGGGAAGACAAGCTAATTGTATTTACTCCAACAAGGTTCTCTGGGGATCATGCCCCAGAGGCCACAGAGTCAGGTATAAACCTGCCTGTGGTGGTTCTGTTGCATGCTGCCTGAGAAAACACGCTCCTTCCCCACAGTCCCAAGGCAAAAATGAGGCAGCAGGAAGCCTAAGATCCCTGGAAACATGATGAGCCCTGGGATCAGATGGAGGCTCAGTAGCAAGTGGTCAAGTAAGTATCAGGAAGACTAGCTGCAGGGGAGCTGGTCTGAGGGAAGATCCCCTGGAACTGCACCCTCTGAGGCTGGGGAGGTCTCTGCTCAGTTAGCCTACAAGGAGTGTGGGTACCCAGCCTCAGAGACTCTTGGACGGGTGGTGTACCATGCACTGGTCAAGAGAGTGGGTGCTGGAACACAGCCTGGGTCAAATCCTAGTTCCATGCAGGAGTTAGGTTTTGAGCCTCAGCTGGCTGCCTCGTGGGGCTGATGAGGGTTGAGTGGAATGTGCAAGCGATTGGCTCAAGGGCTGGTGTGTGCTTTCATCAGATCATGTCATTGTCTTGCTCAAATTTAGAGGATGTGTGTTGGTGCTGAGGGAGAGGAGCAGGGATACGTAACCTAGATCCGTGGTTCTCAAATAGGGGTGATTTTAACATCCCTAGACCAGGCTGTCAGAATGGTTTTCTTTGTCCCAACAGGAGTAGAAGGGTTGCTCCTGGCATCTAGTTGGTAGAGGCCAGGGGTGCTGCTCACCATGCTACAATGTGCAGGACAGCCACCAGCACAAAAAATGACCAGGCCCCAAATGTCAGTAGTGCCAGGAATTAGAACCCTCAGCTAGACCCAATAGTGGGTAATCAAGGAAGACTTCCCTGCAGCCATGAAGAAAACCTGAAGATGAGGTACAGATGAGGGGAGAGAGTTTTCCAGGCAGAAGAACAACAGGTGCAAAGGCCCTGAGGAGGAAACAAAAACAGGAAGGCTGCAGCCAGGTGTCCAAAGGGGAAGGGACAACAGAAGCTGAAGATGTCTGGGGGCAGGAGGAAACATGGTGAGCCATGGAAGTGAAGTTGAGCGAGATCTCATCAGCATTTTCACAAGGTCTCTCTGGCTGCAATATGGGTAATGGACAGCAGGGGACGAGAGTGGACATGAGGAAGCATTGAAGGGTGGATCACCCAGGAGGGACATAATGGTGGCCTGGACTGGAGTCCTAACTCTGGAGATGAATTTTCTACTTCTCTCCAAGAGAATTTCTTAAATCCACCTATCAGGAATCAATGGGATGTGAGAGGTGAGAGAGGAGTTGAGCACACTGCCCAGTCTGAGGCTTNTTTGTCCCAACTGGAGCAGGAGGGTTGCTCCTGGCATCTAGTGGGTGGAGGCCAGGGGTGCTGCTCACCATGCTACAATGTGCAGGACAGCCACCAGCACAGAAAAGGATCTGGCCCCAAGTGTCAGTAGTGCCAGGAATTAGAACCTTCAGCTAGACCCAATAGTGAGGAATCAAGGAAGATGTCCCTGCAGCCATGAAGAAAACCTGAAGATGAGGTACAGCTGAGGGGAGAGAGTTTTCCAGGCAGAAGAACAGCAGGTGCAAAGGCCCGAAAGCAGGAAACAAAACCAGGAAGGCTGCAGCCAAGTGTCCAAAGGGGAAGGGACAACAGAAGCTGAAGATGTCTGGGGGCAAGAGGAACCATGGTGAACCGTGGAAGTGAAGTTGAGCGAGATCTCATCAGCATTTTCACAAGGTTACTCTGTGCAATATGGGTGATGGACAGCAGGGGACGAGAGTGGACATGAGGAAGCATTGAAGGGTGGATCACCCAGGAGGGACATAATGGTGGCCTGGACTGGAGTTCTAACTCTGGAGATGAAGTTTCTACTTCTCTCAAGACAATTTCTTAAACCCACCTATTAGGAATCAATGGGATGTGAGAGGTGAGAGAGGAGTTGAGCACACTGCCCAGTCTGAGGCTTGGTTGTGCAGGCTGGGGCTGTGCAGGTCGTCATCTATGAGAAGGGAGCCCTGTGGATCCTGCAGTGCACCACTCATGTGGCCATACCCAGCAGCCCTATGAGCAAAAGGAAAATCAAGTGGAATTTTGAAGAGAGGTGGGTACTGGCAGCTGAACTTCAGAGCCATTGATTGAAAGTGTCAGGATGTATGAAGGAGGATGGTTCCCCTGCATCCAGACACCTGCCACCTGTATTATAAATACATTCACACACAGATGTACCCTGAGCATGCAGTGGCATACCCTGAGTATATGACTGAGAGCCTGTGCTCTCAGTCCCTATGTTCCTGACCCTCAGAACTATGAGCAAGGTTCAGCACTTTACATGTGAACCCATATCCTCTTTACAACAACTCTATGGTATAGGTGCTAATTTTACCCATAGGGGAGGTAATGTGTTGTTATGCCCATTTTACAGATGAGAAAACAGAGGCACATAGAGATTAAGTAACTTGACCAAAGTTACACAGCAAGTGGTAGAGCTGGGATTTGAACCCAGGCTTCAGAGTCAATGCTCATAATGACTCTTTGTTCTGACAGTGTCACTTAAGGATTCCTACACTAACAATAAAAATAGTGGTTATATTCCATGGCAGGGATGGATTTAAGCCCTTTTTAACATATTTTCTCATTTAATCTTTAAATTGACCCTAGGAGGTTGGGATCAGTAATTCCCCACGTGAGAGGTTAGGACACTGGGACAGAGAGTTTAAGTGAGTTGAGTCTTGATGGGGGAAGGACAGCAACTGGGTGACCTGTTCTGTCCTCAGGATCCTGCACTGTTGACGACCTCGGTTCTGTCTTCAGATCTGCCTGGACATGGACAACAAGACCCGCATCTCTGAGTTCATCCTCCTCGGCCTCTCTGAGCAGCCCCAGCAGCAGCAGGTGTTCTTAGGTCTGTCCTTCAGCCTGTATCTGATCGGGGGCCTGGGGAACCTGCTCACCATCCTGGCCATCGTCTCAGACCCTCACCTGCACAGTCCCATGTACTTCTTCCTCAGCAACTTGTCCCTTCTGGACATCTGCTTCACCTCCACCACAGTCCCCAACATGCTGCTGAGCCACCTGTGGGCGCACCACCATGTCCTCCTCTGCCTGCCTGGCCCAGATGTATTTCTTCATCACCTTTGGGGGAGCCGACAGCATCCTCCTGTCAGTCATGGCTTATGACCGCTACGTGGCCATCTGCTGTCCCCTGCACTATGTGACAGTAATGAGCATCTGTCGCTGTGCCTTGCTGGTGGCCATTCCGTGGACCTCAGCCAACCTCATCTCCATGGTCCACACTCTCCTGATGACCCACTTATCCTTTTGCACCAATAGGATCCCACACTTCTTCTGTGACATCAACGCCTTGATCAAACTCTCCTGCTCTGACACCCAAGTCAACGAGATGCTGGTGTTGGTCCTCGGGGGCTCAGTGGTTTTGGTCCCATTCGTGAGCATCATAGCCTCTTACACACCTATTGCCATGGCCGTGTGGAAGGTGCCCTCTGCCTGGGGGAAGTGGAAAGCGTTCTCCACCTGCAGCTCTCACCTCTGTGTTGTCTCTCTCTTTTATGGGACGATCATCGGGGTCTACTTCAACCCTGTATCCACACACACCACCCAGAGGGACCTGGTAGCCACAGTGATGTACACTCTGGTTGCACCCATGCTGAACCCCTTCATCTACAGCCTGCGGAACCGAGAGCTGAAGGGCGCCCTCCGGAAACTTCTCAGTGGGAATCGCTTTGACAATCCTCTTTGACAACTCTCTTCAGATCCAATTGTTTTGGAATAAACTTACACTTCCCAAAGTTAGGACTTGTTTTGGTTTTTCTTGGTCCACTAACACAACATTAAACAGCTCTAAAAATTTAGTGCCTTTTAAATTTGTTTCATCCTTCTGAGTACACCCTGAGAACATCTCACCTTTGTGCTGCTATGTCCTTAACAATTTTTTGCATAACATCCCTTTATGTGAAGGTGGGTTTGGGGGTCAGAGCCTTCAGCTGACAACAAAAGCTAGCTAGAATTTAAACAACATTCTTTTATTTTCATTATATTCTGTTTTTACTCTTATCTTCTGTATGAGTTGGGGTTCATGTGGGAAAATAGGAGGATGTTGGGCTGGCTCACTTATGTCACTGTGGTTCTGGTTTTTATTTATAGGAGTGATCTATTTCTAAAGAAGAACATTGTAGACTTGAAAAAAACATCAGTTGAATTAAAACTACAGTCATTCCTTGGTATCCATGGGGGTTTGGCTCCAGGACACCTACCCACCCCCCGAGGATATAAAAATCCATGGATGCTCAAGCCCCTGATATAAATGGCATAGGATTTGCATATAAACCATGCATATCTTCCTGTATACTTTAAATCATCTCTAGATTACTTACAATATGTAATACAATGTAAATGCTGTGTAAAAAGTTCTTATGCTCTATTGTTTATGGAATAATTACAAGAGAAAAAAAAAAGTCTGTACATGTTCAGTACAGACACAATTTTTTTCCCAAATATTTTCGATCCTTTGTTGGTTGAATCCCCAGATGCAAAATCCCGATGAAGAAGGCTGACTGTATTGAGCAAATTATAGCATTGTTTGTACTCAGGGGAAAATTTGCCTCAAATGAATGAGGAATCGGTGATCCTGGATCAAGCAGGTTGCCTGTGCTGAGTAGAGAAGAAAGACTGAAATGTCATCACGGTTTTGGGGAACTGGCTTTAAAATCTGACATTCTTGTATTCAGATTCTCTCTTTGCCCACTAACAGGCCACAGCATGTCTCTTATCTGCCACTTTACCTTTGTTACTGTGCTGAGTAGAGAAGAAAGACTGAAATGTCATCACGGTTTTGGGGAACTGGCTTTAAAATCTGACATTCTTGTATTCCGATTCTCTCTTTGCCCACTAACAGGCCACAGCATGTCTCTTATCTGCCACTTTACCTTTGTTAATTTTCTTCTCCATAAATTGGATTCTGCTTGCCTGTTGCTGAAAGTAAATTAACTTCACGTGTCAGTCATATTTTATCTCTGAACTGGAGTTTGTAATGGTACCAATCTCCCCAGGTGTTTAATCCCTTATAAAAGAACTTGCTACATCATAAGCACTTGATAAATCAGACTTCTATGCTTCACAAAAGGTAGTCACCCCAATTTCAGAAACCTAAAGATGCCTTTTAAATGAAATAAGCTTGATCATCCTTAATAACATAGTATTTTTTTTCCAAACAAGAGATGCAAAGTTATTTGTTGAACCTATTGTTAAATATTTTCAACTTTCTGTCTCTCTTTTGACAAATGGAGCCACAAGGCACTGAAAAGAACTTTCAGAATTTGAAGTTTTATCTTTTCATGAGATGTAGCAGGATTTTGGACAGAACAAAACATCAACATTGCAAAAACAAACATCATACTATGCTTCTGAGAATTCATGCCAGCCTTTGCTGCAAGTAGAGATATAAAGTGCTTATTTTTAAAGAGAGGGCTTAGAAAAAAGAAATAATTAAGAAAGCCCAAACTCATTGAATGTAACTTTTGGTGTAAGAAACTCTGTCTGTTTCTACTTTTGAGGTAGTCCTGTTCTGCATCTGCTGATGTTTTGTTTTTTCTGTCTTCCTAGACTTTGGAAATCATAAAGTTTTTCCTTAACTGAACTTGGGTGATGAAATTCTGTTCTGTATAATTCCTAGATCTCTCCATAGTAATAGTTTATCTCCTTTCCATGCCTTCCTTTCTCTGATAGAGGCTCTGCCCTAGCCTCTCTGCCACCAGAGTCACCTCCATTGGTAATGCTAGCATTTGCTGATTTCCACGGTGTAAATCCTCTCCCCACAGTTGAAGGTACTAAGCTATGTGTGGTAGCCCACCATTTCAGAGGATTTTCGTGGTGCATGTGTAATAGTCATAAAGAACCTCAACAGCATAGACAATCATAAAATATATATAGTTGGGAAGTGACAATTTTTGAGCCTTTATTACCATTTGGGGGGTTCTAGATTTTATTACATTCTTACTTACTCTTTAAGCAGATACTCATCTCTAAGAACTTACTTTTGAGACTTTCAGTTAGAAGAATCAGTCTTTTTATTATCCATATTTGCATAGGGCCTGTCATTCATGAGCAGGTGCTAAGAACAACAAATTAACCTTCTCAATAATGAAAGAAGTGAGAAGAAAACAGCTCAATCCTAGATTCTCTAATTTAATCTATTATAATTTTATACGATTTATTTTGAGAGATAGTTGTGTTTAAAAACTGGTTTGCAAAATGCCTGAAAATTTAACAACTGGCTCTTGTGAGTTGGTTGGAGCTGGTCACTCATCACCTCCCTCTAATCCATTCTCCCCGTAGGTATCTGATCACATCACTCCTAGGAATTAAACCTTCCACAAACTCACCAGACTTCAAGAGGAAGCCATAGCTCTTTAGACCACTATGCGAGCTTCTTAAGCTGAACTTGACGACTTCTCCAGCTCACCTTCTGTCTTTGTCCTGCCTCCTGCTCCATGTCCCTGGCTTACCAGACTACATTCAGGTCCCCAACTCCACCATATTCTATCTCAAGCCACCCTTAGGGCTTTGATATGTCTTCCTGTAACACCTTCCCTACCAACCTCTGCTTGGCTGAATTCTACTCATCCTTTAAGACACTTATTACCATTTTGATGAATTTTTCCCAGTCCCATTCCCCCACCTCATGCTAGCTCAGCATCTATCACACCATACTATAACTCTAGCTGTAATATATATTTGTGTCTTCCCTACTGCTGTGTACTCCATATGAGAAGGTGTGCAGCTTCATTCATCTTTGCACCTTGGTGCCAGGCATACAGTTGACACTCAGTAAATGTTTGCGTATTACTTCCTTACTGTGAATGTGTCTCTAAATCCAGATTAGATTTCTAATGTGCTCCTGGAGCAAATAAGATGCAAATTTGTCAGTTCAAAGTTATTTCTTCCTTCCATATGATTCCCAATTTTAAAAATTTCTTTCAAAACTACGAGGCTTTAATTTGTACAACTGCTCCCATATCTTATTTCTGCAGCTCCTTCCTGTGGGTTTAAAGTTTCCCTAAAACTCATTCCTTTAATTAAAGTATTAATATCCCCTGATAAATGCATGTGCCTAAGACAACCATTCACACTTCAGTGTGAATTGTTACAATGAAAAAACCACAGCTTTGAGGAAGCAGGACAGCAAACAAGAAGTCCTGGTGAGGAGAGAAGATTGGGGAGCGTTAGCATTAGATGTCCTGGATGGAGGGAGCACTGATCTGCTCAAACTGCCCCAGTTGTGGGGACAGGTGCTCAGGGCTGGCTGGTCCTGTTGAGCTTTTATGAAGGTAAGAGTTGAGATCTGGAAGTTCTGCAAAAGAGAAGACAAGGCCAGGGATGAGCAGAAAAGGACCAAAGCATGACCTACAACTATTTTCTTTGCTCCCAGCTCACTTCTGTGCCAGTGGTGTGGTAAAAACATGTGCCAGACAGATTCAAATGTGTAAGAAGAAAGAGGTAACAAATGCAAGTGGAACATTTATCCCCTAAATTGTTCTGCTGAGGTTCATCCCTGAGTGCAGCCTCTGCTGTAGACTATAGCAGGCATTTAGTGAGCAGTTACTGAGCTGCATTATGGCGGTGACCAAGGCAGATCCATTCCTGTGTGTAGGGGAGGTTATAAATTGAGAGCATTTGTGAATACAGAGATATCAGCAATAGGAAAAGAATGGAGGTGTTCTGGGATCTCAGAGGGGACACCAGACCCATCCCAGAGAGTGCAGAAGGCTTCCAGGGGACGGCGACATCTGAAATAGACCTAAAATATGAATAGAGTGAGGTAGGCAAGGGAGGGATGGGAAAGACAAGTGCCCGTCCCCTCCTTCTCATGACAGTAAAGACCCCCTTTGCTGAGCACCTGCTGTGCATCATATGCCATGCTTAGAGCTTTATAGGCAGAGCTTATTGAATGCCCCTACTAGAGAGTAGGATTTTATAATCCTGATCTCACAGATGGGGAGACATTAAGGCCCAGAGAATCTGAGATACTTACCCAAGATTCATATTTAGCCTCCAACTGGACAATCCCAAATGAAGTCCCCAAGGTGACTGACCCAAACAAGCTTTTTTCCTCCAAAGTATGAAAAAACTAGATCCCTCAGGCATGGCCAGTCCTACAAGTGGGACCATAGTCCTTGAATTCCTGCCTTCTCCAGTCATACAGGGCACTGGGCCTGTGCCCAGATGTTCTGGAATCACAGTGTTTCTCCAGTCCTGCATTTGGACACTGGTGTGAGAAGGAGACTAGGGTATGACAGAGTTCACCCTCCTGCTGGGCTGGGAGGAGGTTGCAGGTACTGTAAATGGTGCACCACACTCTGTGCCACCTCCAGGGCCCTTACCTGGCCTGGGTCTGCTTTACTTCTCTGGCTTGGTGCAATGGCCTCCTCTCTGCTCTCCCTGATCCTGCCCTCAAACCATAAGTCTGCCTCCTACACACCAGACAAAGGAGGCTTTCTTTTTTTGACTGGTAAGGTGATCGCAAACTTCTCTGGCTTGGTGCAATGGCCTCCTCTCTGCTCTCCCTGATCCTGCCCTCAAACCATAGGTCTGCCTCCTACACACCAGACAAAGGAGGCTTTCTTTTTTTGACTGGTAAGGTGATCGCAAACCTCAGCATGGTGTGGTCTGCACCACGCTCAGCCAGCAAGCACACCGGCCATCCCTATATAGGATCTGAACCCACGGCCTCAGTGCTACTAG